TGCAATACCTTATACCCGGCGCCTCCTACTTTAATAATATCAGTGGGAGAAAGAGCATCTAATGCAGCCTGCACTATTGCATTGGAATGTGATCTGGTTGTTGTAACAATGAATTTATCTTTCGGTGGTGAAAGACGTTCGAAACCACCAGTTCCCAATCCTTTCAAACCCCAAATAGTTCGTCCCAATTCTCCTCCAGGATTTTTGAAGTAGGGTTGATGTATTATGCCGCCTACAGCGGAATTGTTAACAGCTATTCCAATTAAAACTGTAACATGATCGAGGAAACCTTGGGTATATTCCGACGTTCCATCCAAAGGATCTACCCACACGACAAACTCGTCATCCTTTATATCACGCCACTGTTTCGGACATGAATTCGTTAAAAAATCCTCATCTGCCTTTGTAACCAACCAATCGTTATTGACGTTAAGGTCTGAACCGCCTTCTTCTCCAATAATCTTTATTTCAGGAAACGATTTGGACAAGGACGCTATGATGCAACGTTGTGCCGAACGATCTGCTTCGGTCTGCAAGTCATCCTTACCCTAGAAAAGGAAACATTTATCAAGTGCTAAATAAGTATTCCATTCTTGGCTTAATATGTCATTTTTATTTGTTTATGTATGTGTTTTCTTTTCAATAACAAAAAGTTTGTTCAGAAAATATTCAAATTCGGGTGTTTTCAAAATGTTTATTTCAACGTATGCATCGACAAAATCTAGAGTTTTTGTAGCGAAATAATCATTTAGAGATATATAGTACATGATTTTGAAAAGAAGTATTGACTTTTCATTCAGTTATCGCGTTTTTCAATTATGGGCTGCTGGGACAATGAACTGTCAAACTAATTTTGGAATTGAAAATTTTGAATGAAAAATTATTGAAAAGTGTAAAATATTTTGAAAAATACATATTATAACAACTTCCGATTTGGATCGTATGAGAAAGCATTTAAAAATCCACTTATTTTTGATAAAACATTTCAAAATTTTTGATATATAAATGTTTCCAAGCGTTGATGTATCCATGGTACAATGAAGACAAGGTAGGCTAACTTTGAAAAAATTGCAAGTATAGAGGTCTATCTGTTTGGCTTGTAATGTCAGAATTTCTGTCAAAACAATAAAAAAGCAAACAACTTGTTGCATTGATTTTGAATAAATAATTTAAAACCGCGAAAAATGAATGAAAGGTCAACATTTCTTTTCAAAATCATGTTATATATATTTCTTATGTTTTATTTCGCGACAAAAACCTTAGATTTCGTCGATGCATACGTTGCAATAAGCATTTAGCAAACACCCGAATTTGAATATTTTCTGAAAATTTTTTTATTATTGAATTATAGAATACACACACATAAACAAACGAAGTTTGCATATTAAGCCAGAAAAATAAAAAATTAAAATCATATGGTAGTTCTGCCCTACCTTGAATTCATTGTACCATGGATGTTCTACCTATATTCTTCTACCATGCTTGCAATTCTTCTTCTTCTCATTCATCGACATTCAATCAGATGTTTTCTATTGCTTGTTTATTTCTTTTTGTGCTTTCAATTTGAAAATATATTGGAATTAGTAAGACTAATTGTTTTTGAAGAACAACTTTACAAAATGTGAAAAACATAAATATTAATATGTAATAAGAAAATAAGTAGTTGCAAGCTTCTCCAGGAATACCGTCTGTTTACTTTTCGCATTTTCCTTGCAAAAGAGAAAAAAACTACCTTACTCTCTCAGAAAGATGTTGCTGGACAATTCCAGACACACATATTGTTTTTGAAATCACAGAACAAAAAAAAACAATAGTCAAAAGAGTGTAGGCAAATGTTGACACCTTAGTTGTGTTCCAGTTTTTTAGTAGTAAAACTAGCAGAAGAGAGAACAGTTCGAAATGTCATTCTCATTTAGGTGTGCTCAAAAAATAAGGGAACGGAAAATTAGCAGAAATGCGATAAAATGTCAACATTCAAAATTCCAAAAGTAAACAGTCTAAATCGGACTGGTGAAACCTTACTGAAAAGGACGCCAAAATTTTAAAAAAAAAAAAAAAAAAAAAAAAAGATTAGCGCTCTTTTTTTTTTACCCAAATATTAATATTATCAGCAAGTGTCTACTAATTTTAGCAGGTATTCTATCAGATGCTACCGAATCTGATGATACCTGCACCACATACTTCATCAGCAATGGACATTGAAAATCCACTGCAACAGAACCTTACACCACCTGTAAAAATTAATTCCAACAACAACAACAATAAGCGTTTACGGCTAGAAGATGGATCCCTTCCGGCGGAGATTGATATCACAGGACTAAACTATGATCCTAACAATCAAAATAGATTTGCAATGTTTGCAGATCTAGAAATTGAAAGCACTCAGCAGCAACGTCCTCCCAATCGCAACATTGATGAGCCAAAAACAGTATCTGACAAGCAGAAATCAAGAAAAACGTTTTGTCCGCCAATTTTTTTATACAACATTAATGTAAAACGATTAGTTGAACAGCTAGAAAACATGGAAACAAAAATAGAATACAAGCTTAAAAATACGGGTATGAATAAATGCAAACTGTATCTTTCAGATCCCGAAGCTCATATAGCAATGATGGAGAAATTGCGCGAAAACCCAGTACAGGCGTATACATTCACCCCGAAGGAATTGAAAAAAGTTTCATTTGTACTAAGAGGTCTGTATCATGACATTGATGTAGATAACATTAAAACCCTGTTCGATGAAATAATTCCCAATGTTGTTTCGAAGGTTACCAAATTTACAACACCTAGGTCTATAAAAGAAAATATTGATACTGGTCTTCTCTTGATCACATTAGAACCAGGCAAATCTTTAAACGATATTTCTCACATTAAATATATACAGAAACAACCAGTTTTTTGGGAGAAGCCAAAAAGAAAGAATCAGGATATACAATGCCGTCGATGCCAAGCCTGGGGGCATTTATCAAAGAACTGTGCCTCAGTCCGCAAATGTGTAAAATGTGACAAAATTCACTTGCCAGGTGAGTGTCAGAGACTAAAATCCGATACTTCTGACCCATATTGTGTAAATTGCAAAGCAACTGGTCATACTGCAAATTGGAAGGGTTGTCCCGCTTACAAAAACTACGTTGCAGCTCGAAGACAACGTATTGAAACAGCAATAAAAACGACAGAAACTGCCAAACAAAATGTCAAACTTGCCCTATCAACCAGCTTAGTCTCACCAAACAAAACTTTTGCAAGTTTTTTACGACCCACGCCTTGCCACAGTACAAAATCATCCATCATTGACGAGTTTTTGAAACTATCCAGTCTATTCTTGCAGCCAGAAGAGCTCAGCTTGGAACAAGAAATTGAAATTTTCCTAGCTGAATACAACAAAAAGTCAAAAAGTGAGGCAAAAACTAAGTTTATGAGCCTCTTAAAAAAAATTAAGGAAAAATATGGGCCATAGAACTCTTAATTTCCTAACCTTTAACGTACGTTCATTACTAGATCGTAGCCGACAAATTGAGTTGCAAAAATACCTCATAAATCACAAAATTGATGTTGCGTTTATACAAGAGTGCCATCTTCGCAGAAATAAAAGAATAAAAATAAGCGGTTACAACTTTATTTATGACTACTCACACATAGGAGTAGCCATATTACTAAAAAGTAACCTCAATTACAGACGAGTTGATATTGAAAATATTAATTTCAATACCGTTTTTGTAGAAATCGAAGCAAGAGGTAATATCATACGAAAATATCTGTTGGGATCGCTCTATATCCCATGTAACTACAATTCTCTGCAACTTATAAACGGACTAAATAACTGTCTATCGGCAACATCACAATATGACGGGTTCATTCTTGGCGGAGACCTCAACTCCAAAAATATATCATGGGGAGATCTCATTGACAATACTAATGGTAAAGCTCTTTATAGTTGGTTGCTTGATAATTCCACTGATATTAGTAGAATTTGTTGCTCAACGCCTTCATACCCAAACGGATCCTCATTCCTTGATCATTTTCTTATTAGTCCCAATTTGATTGACTACAATGCTGCTAATTATAACATCTCATCGCTTCCCACATTTTCGGATCACTTCCCGTTAAAATTGGAATTAGCCTTTAACACGGCCGGTCTTGCATTGAAGTCTCCTCCAGTCTTTACATCTTATAAATGCACAAATTGGGTAACCTATCGTCGGGACTTTGACTCAGCTCTTCGCCAAACGTTGCCACCTAAAAATAGAAATTTAAATAACCAAGAAGTAGACGATTATATAAACAGATTCGAAAATACCTTCCACTCCATACACGATCAACATTCCGAAAAAGTGGAGTTTAGAGATCATAAAATTGCACTCCCTGAAAACGTAAAGAAGATTCTTAAAATAAAACACCAGTGGCAAAAGGAGTTGAAAAATATCTTTCACACAAATGGAAACAGATTAAGCAGTGAGTACAACCTCCTATCTAAGCAAATACAATTATTAAAGATAATAATAAGGGATCTTATAAAAAACGAAGAGGCTAAATTATTTAACAACAAATTAAAAAATATTAAGCCAGGACCCTCAGCTTTCCAGCAAGTTTACCAAATCGTTGGAAAAGCAAAATCTTCCTTCTGCCAAAAACTACACATAAATAATGTAACTATTTCCAACGGTCCTGATATTGCCAATGCTTTTTATAGCCACTATGTGAATACATTCCGTGAAAACGTTCCCGATGAGCCACCGTCAGATATTGAAGAATCTATTTCATCATGTTTAGATCCTATTCCTACTCATATATACACATTTAATGAAGAATTTAACTCGCTGGATAATCCCGACACTTATCACTTCACTTCTACCTCCGTTGTTAAATCTCAAATTGCCTGTATAAAGAAGAAGAAATCAAGTGGGCTAGACGGCATATCAAACTATGTGATTAGAAATTTCCCAGATACAGCAATTAATTTCCTAACAATAATTTTTAATAATTGCTTAAATAACGGATACTTTCCAGAACCGTGGAAGTCGGCGAAGATTATACCAATAAAGAAAAGGCCTAGCAGCATAAATCCTGGCGAATTTCGTCCTATTTCCTTACTTTCAAACATTGGAAAAATCTTCGAGCGCGTGTTACACGAAAAGTTAGAAAACGAATTTATTATTAACCCTATTTCCCCATTTCAGTTTGGATTTAAACCAGCTCACTCTACAAATCACGCCTTACTTAAATTTCACAATGATATAACGAGTCACCTAAGAGAGAAAATATGTACAGTGGCAATCTCTCTAGATATCCAGAAGGCATTTGATTCTGTATACCACAAAGGAATTATTTATAAATTAATTAAACTGAACGTGGATCCGTTTCTGGTCAAGATGTTTTCAAGCTTTTTAAACAACAGAAAATTTACTGTTATTATCAATGATTATATGTCCAATTTTGGCGCAATAGAAAGTGGTGTCCCCCAGGGCAGCGTTCTGTCACCCCAACTGTTCAACTTGTTCCTTCATGATTTTCCTCATGTTTCCGAAAATTCTAAATCTATTTTATACGCGGATGATTGTCTGATATATAGTCATAACAACTCACCAATTACTGCTCTCAATAATGCAGCGTACCATCTTCAAATTATAAAAGCATATTACACGACATGGGGAATTTCCATAAATGCTGCGAAGTCGGAGGCAATTTGCATTAGAAACGCTTCAGGAAAATGCCATAGAACAGTAGTGCCTGAATCCAAACTATTGAATCTCTCGCTTGATGGAACAGAAATCCCTTTTAGGAATACCTTAAAATATTTGGGAATAAACATAAATAACCTTTTTAAATTTAATGATCACGCCAGAGCCGCCCTAAAAAAAGCCAAAATGACAGCTGGTCGTTTATCATACATCATGTGCAATACTTATCTGCCACAGAGTACTAAGTTGCTCCTATATAAAGTCGCCATTCGCCCAATTATGAATTATGGTTTCCCAATGTGGTTTTCAATTTCCCCGACAGTGGCAAATGAAATTGAAATGTTTGAACGAAAAATCCTTAGAAAATGTGTTGGAAAAAACTTCCAGAATCCCTCTAAGCGCTTCTCAAATCAGCACATTTACACCTGCGCAAACATTCTGCCATTCTGCACGTATGCTCTCAACCTCCAAAGGAGATTTGTGGAAAACCTAGCCGTACATAATAATGAACTTTTAAGTGAAATATATGCTGCTGAACAAAATATTTTATGGTCCGGCTCAACTTACCTTTCACCAGTAGGAGTTCTAAATGAAAATCTTGACAACAGTTCTGGCCAGTACCATCTACCTGATTTTTTTACCAAGGCGAGTCCCGAAACACATAGGGGATAAATGAATGCAAAAAACGATTCTGTGATATTCTTATATACATTTTAGACTTAAGTCACGTAGTACCTGAAAAATTACACATAAATAGATCATTTCACACCTCATGTTTCTTAACGTTATAATTTTACAATTAATATGTTACACAATTAATGTTCTCTTTACACATTGTATGTAATTGTCGATTATCACAATAATTGCTTTCGCAATTTTTTTTCATGTAAAATCTCGACATTACATTATATATGATCTCAATTCATATATACCTACCTAAAATTGTCACACTGTTCAAACATATTTATTTATTTTAGTATATAAGTGTTAACTAGTGTTTAAGTAGTTATGCAGATATTTACTCTGCACGCTAAAATATAGACCGCGAGCAAGTCTAAAAATCTCTTCCCATTTGTTTACATTTTGTAAATTTCTGTTTATTCACTTTGCATGTAGCATTAACGAACGTCAGTGTGCAGCAAAACAAAACTATTATAATTTTGCGTTTTTTGATTATCACCGTTGTTATCGATAAGTACAACATATTGTAACCGAAAAAAAAGAAGACTCAATAAATATTTTACTTACTTACTTACTTTAAAAAAAAAATGAGTATTGAAGGCGATATGTTAAAATTAATAATCTATAATAATAATTAATAATCTGATTCCTCATTCAGCCAGTCCTCTTCACTGCTGGAATCATCCAAAAGTGAATACATTATTTGATCCATATTTTCTCTTTTTGTTTTTGCACGACAAATATTAGTTTTTCCTTTAGCTTTTAAGTTGATCATTTTCTTTATTTTTGTTGTGACGCGCCATGGTAGAAGAATATAGGTAGACGAATCGACACAGCTGCTGGGACAATGAACTGTCAAACCAATTTTGCAATTGAAAATGTTGAATGAAAAATTATTTACATTTATAAAAAATGCTCAAAATACCGAATTACTATAACCTCCGAACGACGTCGTATAAGAAAACATATACAATTCTACTTATATTTGAATAAACATTTAAAATTTTTTGACATATCAATGTTCCCAAGCGTTGATGCATCTACCTGTATTTTTCTACCATGTGACGCGCGAACATTGAAATGTATCAATACATTTTTCAACCTTGTTAGCCCTGCCAATTAAATGTCAAATTTACAATATGCACATTTCTGCTCGACCAAATTCATGTAGCTAAAACAAGCAGAAATGTGCACCACTCAGCACCATTTTTTTCTCGAGAGAGATGCAAGTTTTGCTAGTTTTTGGAGTACGGGAACGCGTTGTAGCAGAATTAGTACTAATTTGTAGGTTCTGGAACACAACTAATATGCACATTTTTGCTCTAAAATTCCAAGAGTAAATAGTCCAAATCGGACTCGTGAAACCTTACTGAAACGGACGCCAAAATTTAAAAAATTTAGTATTGAAGACGATACGTTAAAATTAATAATCTATAATAATAATTAATAATCTGATTCATCATTCAGCCAGTCCTCTTCACTACTGGAATCATCCAAAAGTGCTCCATATTTTCTCTTTTTGTTTTTTTGCACTACAAATATTAGTTTTTAAGTTGATCATTTCTTTATTTTTGTTATGACGCGGGAACATTGAAATGTATCAATACATTTTTCAACCTTGTTAGCCCTGCCAATTAAATGTCAAATTCACAATTTGCACATTTCTGCTCGGCCAAATTCATGTAGCTTAAACAAGCAGAAATGTGCACCCCTCAGCGCCATTTTTTTCTCGAGAGAGCTGCAAGTTTTGCTAGTTTTTGCAGTACGGGAACGCGTTGTAGCAGAATTAGTACTAATTTGTAGGTTCTGGAACACAACTTAAAACAGGCAGAAATGTGCACCACCCAGCGCCATATAGACATACATAGACATATTTATATATATAGCATTCCCATCTCTGAGTTTTCTGGAACTTACTTTGTCAAATTTAACTGCATAGAACCCGGGTTCCCATCTCTGATATGTGTATGTACAATGGATTTATAAATATTCTTTCATTTTGAACAAAATTGTTAACATATTATATATATTATTGCATGACTTTACCTTCTTAATTCTACCATGTAAAAATTTCAACATTTGTTTACACTTTGTTAGCTATTTGTTTACCTTAGAATAATGCATATTGACATTAAGTTTGGTAGTCAGCTGGCTTGGAAAGGGGATTTTATAGGTTGACCAGGGGTCGTGTCATGATAAAATAATTTACAGTCAAAACTGTTTTTAATTCAAAGTATTTGAATGATGAATTAAAACACATATCTTAATAGCATATGAATGGTGTCGTATAAGAAAATATGTAAAATCAATCAAGCAAGCATTCAGCTGATTCATAAATACTAAACAATTTATTACTCAAAAACAGAAACTAATCATGCAGAAACTAAAATGAGTATTTTGATGATTTTAGCCACATTTTTCAATTTAATGGTCTGAAAATCCACAAAAAAAGTTCGCTCTGAGTACTTTACGCCCTGGAAGAGAATTATCTTTATAGGTCTATAGGTATTTCCAGGATTTCCGCGACATTATTCACCGGAATTTCGTAAAATTTCGTAAATGGATATTACAACCGATAACGGAAAATTGTCTGTGCAGGTCCTCATCTTAGTATATCCCCCATACAACGGTACCTCTCTTTATTCGGTATTTTGATTATATTAGCGGCATTATTCACCGGAATTGTTTCGACTTTCGTGTTTTAAGTTTCAACAGCTTATGACGAAAAAAACTTATCCAGCAAAAATTCTTATATAAATGTAAATTATATCAAAATTTTGGGTTTCAAAGTTTTTTGTCGGTAACTCAAAAAATGAGTTAGAGAATCCTACTACAGAAGTACACAAACAATACGACTGCCTTAATGTACTTCGGCTGTAAGTTGCCGACCTGTATCGTATGCGAACGAATCGCTGGGAAACGTTTCCAAACGTTTGTTGTACGAAATGATGACTGGTACACTATGAGTTGTTATTCTTAATATTGTTTTTTGTACTTTTTTACATTGTATGGTGGTCAAATAAATGAATAAAAAGGGACAATTACTTTGTACATTATTTGTAATGAGTTAATATACAGGGAAACGTTTGCAATGAGTATTGTACTGTTTCGTTTCCAATGTTGCGTCATCCAGCAGAGTACATTTCAGTTTTGTTTTTGTCTCACTCATCTACACAAACAATACAAAACAAAAAACAAGTCCCGTTATCTTAATGTCGGTTTTGTTTCGTTTCGAACTTCGAGAAAATACAGAACGAAACGATTTCAAACGTTTCCAATAGTTTATTTTCGTTCGCTGTGTTTAAGTCTATTTGACACTATAAGACTCCAGCACAGAGTTGCATTTTTTCTAGTTTATTTTAAGTTGAGCAACCTTTCTTATTGTGCCATGGGTAGAGGCAAAACAGTTCCTAGAACAGTGTGGCATGATTGACTGTATCAAAAGCTTTTGATAGATCAAGTACCACCATAACTGTTCTGTCACACGGCCTGTTTTGGTTGAGTCCTCTGCTGACATGTGTGGAAAGGGCTTGTAAAGCTGTTGTTGTGCTATGCAATTTCCGGAATCTCTCTTGATGTTCAGCTACTGGGAAACACGCTCTTATGATGGGGAGGAGTAAAGCCTCAGCCTTTGAGTCACTTTTGCTGGAATCCTTGTCTGGTTTCAGTAACGGGACCACCCTGCCAATTTTACAGGCATCGTAAACTATTAGGATGGCTAACGGCAAATTGAGGAGTTTGGTGATATACTGACCTCCTGGCTCATCCAGTTGCTTCAACATACCAATTCCGTCAGGACCAAGCGCCTAAGATAACATGTGCAACATCTTTCAACGTAAATTGTGGTGGTAACTCTTCGATTGGGAGAGATCGTACACGGCGTAGGATACTTCTTGTCACTCTCGGGGTGCTCTATAAATTGCCGATTGAAATAACACACGCACCTCGTCGGATCTGTCAATTCTACGCCGTTTTTTTACGGTTCCAAAGCAACTTAAGCGTTGTGCACAATTTACTCGATCCGGTATTATGTTGCCATGCTTCAGGTGTTTTAGCCACTTTTTTCTTACCGACTAACCTGTTCACCCCTGAGTAAGTTCCCTAACTCTGAGATTATTAGGGGGAAATACATAAAGCGCATAATTGGCTGCCTTCTTCGTAGATGAACAAAGGAGTTTTAGGTTGACATAGTTCGATTTTGGCCCTAGGCTTCTTTGTTCATTTCCGAAGAAGCCAGCCGATGACTTAAGCCAGCCAGATAAGCGCTTTATGTATTCCCACCTTTAGGGTTAGTACGGCGAAGTTCATCTCGCTCATTTGCCAATCCCACTGCCTATGCTGGTAAATTTGGTCTTAGGATTTTCGCGTTTTTAATCACTCACCATTCTGAGCGGAACTATTCAATTATTACAAAGTTAATTTATTCAGATTCGAAATGTTGTATAGTTTTTGCAGTTTCGGATGGTCTATTGATGGTGAGAAAAAAGTGTAGGTCGTCTGAGCCTAAAGAAATGACTGATTGCCATGTTACGTCATTCCTCAGACCTGGGGATACGGTGGATATGTCCGATGAGCTGTGGTAGTCTCCCTTATTCTGGTGGGCGCGTCCTCATTCACTGTGCAAAACTTGGAGCTATCAATTTGCTCAGCCAGTGCCATGCCTCTCTGGTCATTACCTAGGACGGAATACATTAATTCATGATGGACATTGAAATCCCCTAGCACCAGACGGTTATTGCCTACAAGAAGTGAACTGATATTGGGCATGTTACGAGGGGCATAGCTATTTAACGGCGTTAAGCACATCTACCTCGTCGGTTCCACACTTGACCGCTACCCCCCATAACGATTTCGTTGATCTTACCTCGGAGACCAGTTGATAGCGGGGGAGTCTCGTATTGCGACGACGAAGACTCACTGGGGCCTACATTGGCGCAGCAGGAAGCAATGTAGTCCCTATCGTCCCTATCCGGTTTAAACCGGAACAATTCTGGAAATGCACCCACCCATGCATCCGCTGCATCTCACCGAGCCCGATCTAGCCCCTGGCCTAAGTTTGTTCCTTCGAGTCAATACTGATAACATGGCAATAACAGCAAAATTTTATTTTATATTGAAGAATTGCATTGAAGACTCATCACAAGAAATTAATTACACATTCGTTTGGGCAAAAGATAAATATAAAGCCTGGATTTCTTCCAGTTCCATGACAAAACTGCTTAATATACTTCTAGCGCGAACCGCAATGTACGTTTTATGTATTATATTTCTTTATTTGTGTGGCTTAAAATATCACTTTGATTGTGTATGTGTTCTTTTAAACTATATTTGAAAATTGTTTAGAAAGTATTCAAATCCGGTTTAAATTAAAATGCTAATTACAACGTATGTTTTTGCCAATTTTACACTTATGATGACGAAATAAATCTTTAGAAATATGTAGAACATGATTTTGAAAATAAATTTTGATTGTTTATTCCGTTTTCCCCTTTTTTGTTTATTTATTCAAAATCAATGTAACAAGTTTTGTTTGTTTCATACAAAAAAACTTGTTGCATTTGTTTTGATACTTATTATGACATTACAATACATACAGGAAGGTCTCTCTACTTGCCACTTTCTCTAACTTAGCCGTCATTGTTTTCATTGCACCATGCTATTACTGAAAAAAAAATGTTTTAATATTTATTTGAGATAAATACACTTTTCAAATTAGAATGATAATAATTTTATGGTAAAAATAATTTAAAACATTAGTTTTTGCGAATTATAGTGAATAGCTTTGATATATACGAACATTGTCGACGCCGTTAAAACAAGCAACGGCCCAACGCACAGAAATAAAAAAACGCTAAGCGTAATGCTTTTTATTAGGTCAGAGCTATAACCTTTGGACCTGTCATGGACTAATCTAGTGTCTTCATGAATTTGATTGAAGAAAATTAATTTTAATTGTTGTTAATATATTTCCAGTCAGGTTGTTAAAAAGTGAAATAATTGAGGATGTCACGTATTTTGGTTGGTGTAAAGCGTGTTGTTGACTATGCGGTCAAGGTAGGTATTTTTAATATACGAATATTCATTTACCAATTGCTAAAGGAAGAAAGCACTCTTATCAGATCTATTTTAATTTGCGTAATCAATGCTGATGATATTCTTTCACAATAATAAATTTAGGTCCGTGTCAATCCTGAAAAGACTGGTGTCGTTACACAGGGTGTCAAACACTCCATGAATCCTTTCGATGAAATCGCCGTTGAAGAAGCCGTGAAAATGAAGGAAAAGAAATTGGCTAGCGAGGTTATTGCCGTCTCTATTGGTCCTAGTCAATCTCAGGAAGTAATTCGTACTGCTTTGGCAATGGGTGCAGATCGCGGTATTCACGTCGAAGTATCCGGAAAAGAATACGACTTGTTGCAGCCAATTCATGTTTCTAAAATTCTGGCCAAATTGGCTTTAGAGGAGAAAGCCGATTTAGTTATTTTGGGCAAGCAAGCAATTGATGATGATTGTAACCAAACTGCTCAAATGACAGCCGCTGTACTTGATTGGCCACAAGGCACATTCTGCAATAAAATTGAAAAAACCGATGCTGGTCTAACCATCACCCGTGAGATTGATGGCGGTCTGGAAACGATTAAAACAAAAGTTCCAGCGGTCCTCAGCGCTGATTTGCGTTTGAATACTCCACGTTATGCTACTTTACCTAACATAATGAAGGCAAAGAAAAAGCCCCTGAAAAAGGTGGGAGCTAGTGATTTGGGAGTTGATACTAATCCACGCATTGATATAATCTCAGTTGAAGACCCCCCGGTTCGTCAAGCTGGTGCAATTGTTCCTGACGTGGATGCTTTAGTTAGCAAACTTAAGGAAGGTGGCCATTGCTAGAATAAAAATCAAAGATATATATAATCGATAAGTGGAATTTATTTGATACCTATGCATTTATGAAAATATATCAGTTTAAAACTATTTGCGAAGCATATCAACAAATTTATGTGACTGTTTTGTGTCAATAAATTTTTAGCAAATTAACTAGTTGATTGGTTTATCTTGTTGTTGTTACGGGGGGTTGTCTGAAACCATGTGTTAAAAATGTGTGTGCCTGCGTTATGTGCCTATGCCCGTATTCATTGCATTTGCAATTTTCGGAATCCGGACAACGCATGTTGTAATTCCTCAAAAATGATAAGCTATTTTTTCTTTTAAGTTTTTTTGGATCTTCTACGATATTTAACAATTTAAGAAAATATACTAAACAAGTACATTGAAATACTTATCAAAAGATGTATACATAAATATATATACATATTCGTGTAATTTTGTTTGAAAATTGTAAGCATGAGGTTAATAAAAATAAAATGTATTTGCGAGGAAAAATAAATTTAAAGAGCAAATATTATGTAATCAACTAAGATACAACTAAGAGGAGATGCTACATGATCTAATTCACGAGAGGTCGATATGCGGAAAACTAACAAACCCTTAGGTTCCTCGGTTAATACTAAGGATGTGGTGAATGGTATGATGATAAATCATGCGATACTCTCCTAAGTTGGGATTAGAAGGCAACAAGACAAGATCGCAGAGGCAGTGTGACCATTTTAGCGTTTTTGCCACTAAATTGAGCATTATTTTTTTGGCATAATACACTTGTGCAAGGCAACATAACAACCTGAGCGATTAGAAAATAAAATCCTGCATTAAAGTTATCAAAAAAAATTAATGCTGGTAGATTTTAAGATATGGACATGGTAGAAGAATACAGGTAGTCGCATCGACACAGCTGCTGGGACAATGTAATGTCTCATATCAATGTTCTCAAGCGTTGATGCATATACATATATTTTTCTACCATAGATATGGACCTGGCGTATTTAAATAATACGGACGTACTAAAAATTTTACCATAGTAGGGAAGTTGAACATTAGTGTACGCTATCTCGAATTTTAGGCAACGCTGCAAGAACCGAACTTTCTTATTTTGTTATGTCGTTTCTGGTTTTACTATTTAGTAATGCAGGAGTTAAAGAGGTTTGATCGAACCTCGACATTTTCAGTTGCATGAACCTCTGTGGCGTTTCTACTGCACTTGATTCTCTCTCTGGAAAAACGACTCAATTCCCCACTCATATTTGTTCATTGTTCAAATCATATAATTTTTACAACAATAATAAAATATGTCCCATCCCTAACAAATGAGAACAGTTATAGAAAAAATAAATTATGACATTTAAAAGTTTAAAATAGAAAAATGTTATGAATTGAATTTTTTTCAGGAAGACTCAAAAATTGTAAATGAAAATGTGTATGTATATATGTATTTGAATGTATATGTATTTGAACAAAAAATAATGAATTTTGCGAATGTCTGTATCAGTAACATATTTTGAAATGTCTCTCTTCTATATAGTTAAAAATTGTAAATATATTGAAAATATCAATATTTTCTGAAAATTTGGGAAACATAAATAAAAAGTATATATACAGGCATATCACAAAATCGTATTGAAATGGTTTGATTTTCGCAATTCAAATCGTACGATTTTGTTTTGCCTTCTTCAGATTTCGTACGATTTGGTGAACTACGAATTCAGTGTTAATATGGCAACATTAAATATTCAATATGGTAATATTAGGGGAATGAAAGAACAAATAAATGAGGAATCAAAACAAAACACATGATTAGAAAACATGGTAGAAGTATAACTTCTGAACATGGCCCAATTATTAGGTCGTCCGATTAGCCCAGCTGATGTCACCCATTCTGTCAAAATACATTTGTTTATATCTGGAATTCGCTGCAAAATATGACAAACTGTCATCAAAGAATTTTTACAGTTATGCTGAGAATATTGCTATACACAATTCGAATTTGATTTTCTAATTCTGCACAATTTGCTTCTCGTGATTTTAAATATTACAAGTAAAAAATGAAAGTCTGCAAGGTTTGCCAAAACGAAAAAAAGGTTTGAAGGGCAATGTTATTTTTTTCTCCGTTCCAAAGGACGTAGACGCAAGAGCCATACCATGGTAGAAGAATATAGGTAGACGCGTCGACACAGCTGCTGTGACAATGAACTGTCAAACCAATTTTGTAACTGAAAATGTTGAATTATAAATCATTTTATGAAAAATTATTATATTAGGTTCATTTCATTATTTTGTGTGCCTGTCCTAAAACATTAATTAATGATTAATTGATTAAACAGCATTCCACGATACATATTTTAAGAAACATTTTTGTACAAAATTCTTTTTTGTGTGCTCTTTTTGTTTTGTTTTTTGTCTTTGTTTCAGTTTATTTAGGCATGTCACAAGAATGAATTCGCGCCAGAGGAATGGAATGAAAAGATTCTCTTTTAAATAATGGAATGAAAAGATTCTCTTTAAATAAACAAGAGACACTTGTTGCAAATCAGTTTAAATAATTCTGAAAGAAAGCGGACATGGGCATAAGTGTTGTATTTTAATCATAGTCCAGATTTGCTCATTTTCACTCGGGAACGAACATGCTCGCGAGAAGGATTGCCCAAAGAGTGGGAGTTTTAAAGGAATCTATTCTTTACACTTTTTTGTGTTGCTCCAGAGTCCTGTTCGAAAGATTAGAGTGGGAGCAGCAAGAATTTTCTCTAAGAGTGAAAATGAGTAGAAATATTTCTTTAAATTTCAAAGAAGATATTTGACGTGATAATAATAATCAAATATAGTAAAATCCGTGGTACAATAAGGAGGTAAAACAGCTTCGTTAAACTACATAAGTACAGCCCTAAGGCTATACCCGCTTCCTGTCAAATTTCCATGTTTTAAATTATTCAATATTTTTCCTCATTTTTAAAATCAGTTAAACAGCGGAACAATGAATTAAATGCCTGAATTTTCTTTCAAAAATATGATCTTAACAGTTCAATCTTTCAATTTCATGGTGAAAATGGTTAATGTCTTCAATGCGCGCCCGCAATGAATGCTTCTCCCATTCATTGATTTTGAAAATATTTTGTTTTTTTTTTTTTTCAAAACAATAAATACATACACAAAATTGGCAGAAGACGGGCACACTTAGAAAAAAATTGTAACCAGCTGGTAGCTTTACCTTACCTTTTTATTGTACCATGGTAAAATCTAATAATTAATTAGAATAATAGGAGAAGAATATGATTAATTTTCCATTTACAGAGATTCAACAGCGAGCGCTAGAGAACGAACTGGAGAGAAAGCACCACAAAACGTACTACTTTGTGCACCAATGGTGTAACAGCAAACGGGGTGTAACAGCAAACTGTTGCTCTGTACTGTAAAAGAGTGGGGTGAGGGGGTGTGATCACAACAATAATTTTTAAGGTATATGCGTCACAAACGTCCTATGCCCAAATCCAATGCTACCAGCTTAAAACCCACCTGCTTTCAGCCGAAAGTGCTTAATCTCGGATAACTTCCAGATGGTTCCCTTGTTATACCTCCACCTTGGAAAGGAGGGTATTCCATTCGTAACATCCCTAAATATACGTCGTAGATCCCATGGTACAATGAAGAGAAGATAGGCCAACTTTGAAAAAATTGCAAGTATAGAGGCCTACTTGTTTGGCTTGTAATGTCAGAAATGGTATCAAAACAATAACAAAATCAAACAACTTGTTGCATTTATTTTGAATAAATAATTGAAAACCGCGAAAACTGAATGAAAGGTCAATACTTCTTTTCAAAACCAGGTTCTATATATCTCTAAAGGATTATTTCGCTACAAAAACTCTAGATTTTTTCGATACATACGATGAAATAAACATTTTGAAAACATCCGAATTTGAATGTTTTCTGAACAAATTTTTTGTTATTGAAAATAAAACACATACATAAACAAATAAAGATGACATATTAAGCCAAGAAAATAAAAAAATTGAAATCATATGGTATCATAGCCCTACCTTTATATCATTGTACCATGGTAGATCCCATTACGTACATATATTCATAATCAGCATAAAATTCTAAATCAATTTAACGATGTCCGTCTGTCTGTTGAAAACACGATACAGCCCATATTATTTGACGTAGAGCGTCAAAATTTAGTAGAACATTTTTTATTGTATCTACGATGGTTGATATTGAAAATAAGATATATCGGTCCACGTTTTGGTATAGTCCCCATGTAACGGTACCTCCCGATATTCGGTATTTTGATGATTTTTGCCACTTTTTTTCAGGGATTTGTCTAAAAGTAGGTATTTGTTGGTCATAATAGGTTCTAGCTCCGGTGGCGAAACATTGTAGGTCCCCGCTTTGGTATAGCTTCCATATAACGGTACTTGCCGATATTCGGTATTTTGGTGATTTTTTTTTCCCACATTTCGCGGATTTGTCTAAAAATTGGAATTAGTTGGTCATAATAGGTTCTAGCTCCGTTGGCGAAACATTGTATATATAGGTCCACGTTTTTGTATATATATATATATATATATATATATATATATATATATATATATATATATATATATATATATATATACTAGCTGAACCCGGTGCGCTTCGCTACCCCTTTTGATTTATATGCATTCAAAATTTTATTTACGAATATATGTTGGATAAAGAAAATCAAATTTAAAAATTAAAAAAAAAAAAAATATATTGCACTAATTTAATGCGTTAATAAACAAAATCATTACAAAAGCAGTAACATGACATGCATACACGAAGGGTTTGTCCTTTGGATTTATCTATTTCATAGCAAATACCAAGCGTGCAGGAAACTGCAATTTTTTTAAGTAGAGTGGCATTTCTATTGCTATTAGTGAATTCGAGATAGCAACTTACTTCGCCGTAATAAGCGTATTTCAAATAAATTGTTGTGTTGTTCTTTAGTATTAGCCTAAGGCGTTGTGGGTCAATGGTTCTTATTAAAATCATATCCCAATCTGATCCGATTTAAATATAATATTAAAAAAATTACTTTTACACCAAACTCCGCCACACCTTTCATATTTCATTGAAATTGGTGCGTCAAATATGTGAAATCGGCCGAGAATATATATATGGGAGCT